GTCCGCCACCTGCATGCTCCCCTTCGAGCTGCTGCTCTCCAACCCCCTGCAGTTCTTTCGGGTCGAGGTGGCTCTGGAGGATATCAATGACCATTCACCCGTCTTCCCCGAGGAACGAGTGACTTTTGATATCACGGAAAGGAGTGACCCTGGTTCGCATTTCCCTCTGGAGGGTGCTCGGGACCTCGATATTGGCAGCAACACAGTCCAGGCATATAGCATCTCCCCCGAGAACCAATATTTTAGTATCTCCTATGGAACTCGAAGCACAGGCAAGAAGTATCTTGAACTTGTTTTGGAAAAGCCACTAGACAGAGAGGAGCATGCAGAGATGAGTTTTAGTCTCATTGCTGTAGATGGGGGCTCTCCTCCCAGGACTGGGACAACTGAAGTGGAAATTGTCATTCTAGATGTAAATGATAATCCTCCCATCTTCACACAGGAGGAGTACATTGGTGAGGTTCTGGAAAACATGCCAGAAGGGTCTGTAGTTTTGACTGTGTTAGCAACTGATCAGGATTCGGGAGTTTATGGCGAAATTTCCTATCAATTCAGCCAAGCAGTGGGACAAACGGAGTCGGCATTTCTGATTGATGCCATAAGTGGGGAAATTAGAATCACAAAACCGCTGGACTATGAGGCAGCACAAAGCCATGAACTGAGTGTGAGGGCCAGAGATGGTGGGGGACTCTCAGCCATCTGCAAAGTGCTGGTGGCGGTGGTGGATGTGAATGACAATGCCCCAGAGGTGGTGGTCAGCTCCTTCAGCAGTCCCCTCCCCGAGGACACAGCGCCCGGCACGGTGGTTGCCCTGTTTACGGTCAGGGACCGGGATTCTGGGGCCAACGGGAAGATCTCGTGTGGCCTCGAGGATCAGCTCTTCTTCTCGCTGCGGCCAGCCTATAAGAATTACTATGAGCTGGTGACAGTGAGCGCGCTGGACCGCGAGGAGACGGCTCGCTACATCCTCAGGGTGACGGCGGCAGACGCGGGGTCGCCTCCTCTGACGAGCACGCAGACCTTCACCGTGGACATCTCGGATGTCAATGACAACGCCCCCGTCTTCAACCAGACGTCGTACACCATGTACGTGCGTGAGAACAATGTGCCCACGGTGTTTGTTGGAGCCGTCAGCGCTGCCGAC